TTTTCCTTTTTTATGAGAATTAAAAAAATAAGAGATTTTTGAGTTTTACAATGAAAGGTGCCTTGAAATTGAGCTCAAAGTAGCAGAAATGTTCGATTTTTACAACTTCAAAAGAAAAAATCGTGCAAAGCGTGCAATACACGTCAACTGGTGAGTACTAATATTCTTTCACAAGTGCACCAATAATATTTATACCATTTTTTACATAATGCAGTAGTCTGCATAACAGTAAATCTTATATTTTTTGTGAGAATAAAAATTCAAAGTGGAAAGCAAAAAGATATAAGGGGGCCTTGAGACGTAGACTAATGATAGAGAAAAATGTCATTTTAGTGCCAGGAAGTATTCTTGTTTATTCTGGACCCTATTCCGAAATTGCATCTTTGAAATTTGTGTGAAATTGGCAAAATTGCTAATTCTGACCACTGTACTGGATAGTTGAATTTATAAATGGGTGGTTCTTGCACCCATTCGATAGAAAAAATGGAGTTTCTAGCGAAATATTCATGTTTTTTGTCGACTAGTACAGTGAAACTGGCCGAAAATGGGGCTCAAAGTGGGCAAATTCGCCGATCCGTAAACATCGCCGAGACCGCTAACTTTGCGAGAGCATAATTCCGTAAGTTTTCTATCAAATTTCAAACTTTTGGTGTCTTTATGATCGGGAAAAGATTCTCTATCTTTTCATAAGAGAAAATAATTTTTTTTTTTTTTTTAAATTTGGCCGACCCTGAGAACGAGTTTTGGAGAGGGCCTGTCGACCCTCAAAGGGTTAAGAGTAAGACGGAGAATAGGATAGCAGATGAACAAGGAGGCTTTAGGAAAGGTAGGGGGTGTGTGGACCAGGTGTTTACAGTGAAACATATAAGTGAACAGTATTTAGATAAGGCTAAAGAGGTCTTTGTGGCATTTATGGATTTGGAAAAGGCGTATGACAGGGTGGATAGGGGGGCAATGTGGCAGATGTTGCAAGTGTATGGTGTAGGAGGTAGGTTACTGAAAGCAGTGAAGAGTTTTTACGAGGATAGTGAGGCTCAAGTTAGAGTATGTAGAAAAGAGGGAAATTTTTTCCCAGTAAAAGTAGGCCTTAGGGCAAGGATGTGTGATGTCACCGTGGTTGTTTAATATATTTATAGATGGGGTTGTAAGAGAAGTAAATGCGAGGGTCTTGGCAAGAGGCGTGGAGTTAAAAGATAAAGAATCACACACAGGGTGGGAGTTGTCACAGCTGCTCTTTGCTGATGACACTGTGCTCTTGGGAGATTCTGAAGAGAAGCTGCAGAGATTGGTGGATGAATTTGGTAGGGTGTGCAAAAGAAGAAAATTAAAGGTGAATACAGGAAAGAGTAAGGTTATGAGGATAACAAAAAGATTAGGTGATGAAAGATTGAATATCAGATTGGAGGGAGAGAGTATGGAGGAGGTGAACGTATTCAGATATTTGGGGAGTGGACGTGTCAGCGGTTGGGTCTATGAAAGATGAGGTGAATCATAAAATTTGGGATGGGGGAAAAAAGAGTGGTGGTGTTTTTGGGGGTCTTTGGGGGACAGAAAACTTTGCCCTTTGGAGGCAAAGGGGGGAAAATGTATGAGGTTTTTATTTTTTCCCCAACGCTCTTTTTAGGGGTTGTAAAGCATGGGTGATAAAATGTTGCAGCGAGGAGAAGGTGGGGCAGTGGAGATGTCATGTCTGGGGGGCAATGTGTGGTGTTTTTTTAAAATGCAGAAAATTTGTATTTTGGAAAGTTAGGAGGAGGGGGCGGGTTTCCCAAAAAACTGTTGCCAGAGGGCTGAGGAAGGGTTGTTGAGGTGGGTTCGGACTTTGTAGAGAAAATTGGAGCAAAAACAGAAAAAACTTCAAGAGTGTATCAGTTTTGTAGTGGAAAGGGCGGGGTAGGGGTCGGCCTAGGAAGGGTTGGGGGGGGGGGGTTTAAAGGGGGGTTTTTTGTGTGCGGGGGGGCTTGGACTTCCAGCAGGCATCCCGTGGCGTGTTTGTTTGGAAAGTGAATGGAGACAAAGGTTTTTAATACTTGACGTGCTTTTGGGGATTTGTAAAGAAAGTAACATTTTTTAAGGGGGATTCGGGGAAAACCCGGCGGGCCCGGGGGCTTGGTCCTGGGAGGGGGAAGAAACCATTTTGCCTGCACTTTGGAAGGAGGGGTTTTTAAATGTTGCATTTTAAAAAACCCTGTAGTGTAAAGCACCCTTCGGGAAAGACAGTGAGGGAGTGAATGATGGTAAGTTTTTCTTTTTCGGGCCACCCTTTCCTTGGGGGGGTCGGCCGTGTGTTAAAAAAAAAAAAATAAAAAAAAAATTTTTATTACTATTATTTTACTAAAATTTTTATTATTAAATTTTTATTTTTATTATTATTGCATCAAGAGTAGAGAGACTCTTAGTGATTTTTAAAGTTTTCCTACATGCCAGCACAGTGTGTAAGTTTTTTTTAGGTACAGGTGTACCAAATTTAATTTTAAGTCAATACAGGGAAACCCCCGGGGTTTAAAGATATTTTTTCACTCCAGAAATATGTTCAGGTGCCCGAGTACTGGTCGAATTTGTTCCCCTAAAAAATATTGGGGGGTAGATTAGTCCATTTCAGACCCCCAAACATACCCCATACAAACGCCCCTTACATTAAATTTTTAATTACTAATTTGGGGCATTCGGAGGGTAATCGTTATGGGGGGTCCACTGTACATATAAAAAACTTTAAAACACTTGAAATTTTGGAAAGTTTCCAGACATAATAAGGAGATGTGCTCAGGGAGAATGTAAACAAACTGGTGGGCCGCTGTGACCGTATTAGAAAGAAGGTGGGGGAGCCGTATAGCGAGTTTTGGTCATAATTTGAAATGTCCGTATTAGCGGAACGCCGTAAAGCAAAACGCCGTAAAGCGGGGCCCTCCGTGTAATATATATATATATATATATATATATATATATTTATTTTATTTTAATTATTTATATATATATATATATATATACAGGGACCCCCGGTTAACGATTTAATCCGTGCAAGAGGGGTAATTGTTATGCGAAATAATCGTTATGTGAATAAATTTTCCCCATAAGAAATAATGGAAAAAAAATTTAAATCCGTGCAAGCCCCCCAAAAGTATGAAAAAAAAATTTTTTTTACCACATGAAATATTAATTTTAATACACACAAACTGAAAAAGGCATCACACTACAGGGACACTTATTTTATTAAAAGATCTGGTGATGATTGATGGGATGGGGGGGAGGGGGAGAGCATTATCTTCTTACTGTTTAGAAGGGGAATCCCCTTCCATTAGGACTTGAGGTAGTAAGTCTTTTCTGGGGTTACTTCCCTTCTTTTTTTAATGCCACTAGGGCCAGCCTTCAGAGTCCTGGACTTCTTTCGCACAAGATATCTGTCCATAGTGGCCTGTACCTCTCGTTCCTTTATCACTTCCCTAAAGTGTTTCAAACATTGTCAGTGTACAGGTTGCCAACACGGCTTGCAATAGCTGTGTGAGGGTGATTTTCACCCATGAAGGTTTGCACTTCAAGCCACTTTGCACGATTTCCTTTATCTTGTAGTAGGCAACTTCTTAAATTTCTTTTCCCCTCCTTGAACCAGTTTCCCCAGGTCTGGCCTCTTGCTCTTGAAGTTGATCTTCAGCTCATCAGTGGTTAGTTCTTCATGTCCTCCTCCACCAACTCTTCCACATCCTCCCCACTAACCCCCAAACCCCAAGGATTTTTCCCAATGCCACAATGGATTCCTCAACTGGCACAGGATTCTCAGGGTTAGCCTCAAAACCCTTCAAAATCCCTTTTGTCTACACATTTGGCCACAGTTTCTTCCAAGCAGAGTTCAAGGTCCTCTTAGTCACTTCCCTCCCAAGCCTTACTATAAGGTTTACACAATTGAGGATATTAAAGTGATCCCCTCCAAAACTCTCTTAGAGTCAGTTGAGTTTCTGAGGTCATTACAAAGCCCCCTTTCAAAACCAGAGCTTTTGTTACAGTTTCTTAAAATTTGGGGAAAATAACCTGTGGTCCATGGGCTGCAGGAGGGGTGTGGTATTAGGAGGCAAAAACTTCACCTTAATGAGTCATGCCCCCATAAAGTCGCTCTCCCAGTCTTTTAGGATGACCGGGGCATTGTCTAACACCAGGAGGCACTTAAGTTCTAATTTTTTTCGGGTTAGGTAATCTTTCACATTGGGGGCAAATGCATGGTGTAACCAGTTATAGAAAAATTCCCTAGTGACCCATGCCTTACTGTTTGCCCTCACAGCACAAAAACAAATTATCCTTGAGGACATTCTTTTCCCTGAACGCTCGGGAGTTTCAGGTGATACACTAATAAAGGCTTCACTTTGCAATCACCAGTAGCATTGGCACACATGAGAAGAGTAAGCCTGTCTTTCATAGGCTTATGTCCTGGGAGTGCCTTTTCCTCCTGAGTAATGTAGGTCTTGTTTGGCATTTTCTTCCAGAACAGGCCTGTTTCATCACAATTAAACACTTTGTTCAGGTTTCAGTCCTTCAGTTTCTATATACTCCTTGAATTCCTCCCACATATTTTTCAGCTGCTTTGTGGTCCGAACTGGCAGCCTCCACCATGCCTTATCACACTATGGATGCCACTACGCTTCTTAAATCTCTCAAACCAACCTTTGCTGGCCTTAAATTCACTCACATCATCACTAGTTGCAGGCATTTTTTTAATTAAATCTCATGCAACTTCCTAGCCTTTTCACATATGATCGCTTGAGAGACGCTATCTCCTGCTAGCTGTTTTTTCATTTATCCACACCAATAAGAGTCTCTCAACATCTTCCATCACTTGCGATCTTTGTTTCGAAAAACACAGTTAAACCTTTGGCAACAACAGCTTCCTTGATTGTCTTTTTGGTGCCCACAATAGTAGCGATGGTTTGATTGGGGTTTCTTGTACAACTTGACTAGGTCGGCAATACGCACTCCTTTCATACTTATCAATGATCTCTTTCTTCATTTCAATGGGTATCCTTACCCTTATTGGTGTACGGTTGGCACTAGAAGCTTTCTTGGGGCCCATGGTCACTTATTTTCCAGAAACACCACCGAAAACACTGTAATAATACGAAATATTCCGAGTGTATGCTTGGATGTTAGCTCGGAGGCTGCCTGGTAAACAATGGCGTGGGCGGCACATGTGAGGCTGGGTGAGGGCGCACATTGGACGCGTCTCGGACGAAAATCGGTGAGCGGGTTTTTAATCGGTATGCGCGGCAAAAATTTTGCGATTAAAGTAAGCGGTATGCGAAATAATCGCTATGTGATGCCATCGTTATGCGGGGGTCCACTGTATATATATATATACAGTGGACCCCCAGTTAACGAACTTTTTTCATTCCAGTAGTATGTTCAGGTGCCAGTACTGACCGAATTTTTTCCCATAAGGAATATTGTGAAGTAGATTAGTCCATTTCAGACCCCCAAACATACACGTACAAACGCACTTACATAAATACACTTACATAATTGGTCGCATTTGGAGGTGATCGTTAAGCGGGGGTCCACTGTATTATATATATACAGTGGACCCCCGGTTAACGATATTTTTTCACTCCAGAAGTATGTTCAGGTGCCAGTACTGACCGAATTTGTTCCCATAAGAAATATTGTGAAGTAGATTAGTCCATTTCAGACCCCCAAACATACACATACAAACGCACTTACATAAATACACTTACATAATTGGTCACATTCGGAGGTAATCGTTATGCGGGGGTCCACTGTATATAATATATATATATATATTTATATATATATATATATATATTATATATTATATATATATATATATTATATATAAACCTATAGGAAAGTAAAACATATTATCGTAATAGTTTTTATAAAAAGTTACCAGAACACAGAATCTACCATAAACTTTACATTCCACTTCACATACTATACATAAACAAAAAATAATATTTGTTACTAGTAAGGAAATAATTTACCTTAAATCCCAAAGTTCAAGTTCATATTCACCAAAATCCAACTTGCCACTGCCTTCCACCACAGTCTGAAAGAAAAGATCCCCCATAAGACAGGTTTAGCTCATAACACTACCTCTGCCATTTGCCTCATGAAAGAGGCTTGTCAATGAAAATAAATTTCTTACTTCTTTATTAGTTTTTGACACATTCTATTATTATACAGTGGAACCTCAAATTTTGAACGTATTACTTATCGAACTCTTCAGAAATAGAACCCTTTTTTCAAACCAACTTTGTCCCTATCATCAAACTCGCTCCTATTTTCGAACCGCCAGGTACCGAACCTGTCTGGCAGCCCGTTCTGTCCGCGTCCCCACGCAGGCGCCGTGTGCCAGTCTGGTTTTGTTGATGCTTGAGTGAACACTAACCTGTACTCTCATTCAAACATTTTACGATTATTTTATTGTGTTTAGTGCTTGTGGGATTGTGAAATAAGCTACAATGAAAGCAATGAAACTTGCTGGTGGCACCCCTGTGGGAAAGAAAGTGAGAAACACCATAAATGTGAAGAAGGAAATAATACAGAAGTGGAATGATGTCCAAGTAGAATGATGTCCAAATGTTTGTGGAGAAGTACCACCCTGAGCAAGCCGAAACAAGCCATCTTTGCAACAAGTTCAGTGACAGAATCATGTCCCATTTTTGGGAAATCTTAAAGAAGCACCAGAAACAGAGGACTGTGGACAGTTATTTTGTGAAACAGGGGTCCAGTGATTCTAAAGCTGGTCCTAGTGGCATTAAAAGACAGAAGGGAAGTGACCCTAGAGAGGGCTTTGATACCTGAAGTCCTCATGGAGGGGGATTCTCCTTCCAAACACTAACCCCAACTCCCTCTCTCCTCCTCACTATCTTCCAGATGCCATCACCAATCTTCAATAAAGGTAAGTAAAATGTTATTTTATATGTTTATTTAAATTTATTAATACATAATTGAACACTATATTTGTTGTATGTAAAACTATAATTAATCTCTATAAAACGTATTTTTTTGTGTGAATATTTTTGGGTTTCTGGAATGGATTAATTGTATTTCCATTATTTCTTATGGGAAACATTGCTTCACTTTTCAGACTTTTCGAATTTAGAACTAACTCCTGGAACGGATTAAGTTCGATATTTGAGGTTCCATTGTACTTAGAAACTTGCCTCGTTTAGAGAACATTATCTTCATGAAAGTAGATACAGTGTACTAGGTACAGAAATTTTACTTTTTTGGGTTATCCTTGGTAATTGTGAGGGAAAAACCATTAGTAATTCGGGTTAGGGTTGTTCAGACAGCCAGGAACCATTAGTGGGTTACAGCCCACATTTCCATCTAGCAGGATGAGGCAAAACTCAAGTTCATGGTGTCTGATGTGCTTTAATTTCTACTCCTGGTAGTAGTACCCTTACCTGGTGTGGGTTGAAGTTCGGAGAGTCACTACACCTCCACTCTTCTGATCAGGTAAGGTGATCTACCAGGAGTATTTCTGTTTTTTTTTTTTTATGGTTACCAGTATTGACTTTAAGACTGAATATCACCCTGTGTCTTTCTTGAATGCTGTACTTGTATAACTTTTGGTAATCAGTTTATTGTCTTTATTATCAGCTCTGCTACTGGCCTGGTCATTTAGGGTAGACGCCAAGATTATAGGAACAAGATACCTGTGTACTGAACTTAGTAGGACATTACAACTACTCCTCACCTCTATCATCATTCTTGTGGTGCCCCAACCAAGTAGTAACAGGAGATTCCAGAACATCGGATGAATACCACCGCCTAGGATAACCTACACCATTTCTTCAACATCAGAAAACCATTCTGGGCCTTACATACTCCTGCACCAACATCTTACTAGAACCAAAACAGCCAATTTTATTCTTATTTAATTTTAGTTAAAAGGCTTAAAAAACATTCATTATTAATCCTAGAGTTGTTTATTTATTTTTCCATTCGTTTTTGATCTGGTGGAGGGCATTCTCCTGACAGTAATTTACACTATGTATGATAATTGTACTTATGTGTACCTGTACCTAAATAAACTTACTTACCTTACTTACTTCTTACTGAGAATTAGTACACCTGTGTCATCACATGTAACTAGGACTGGAATATGGTTGAAAAGACATAAACTAACACCCAAAACAACCTAAATGGGTTTTGCCCTATTTTGTAGGAAATATTAGTACAGATGCAAGGAAAGACCAAAGTGTAAGCAAAACATTCAGGAACCTAGACAATACAAAGAAGTTTGAAATAAAGAGGAAAAGCAAGAAACTGCAACCAAAAACTGAGGCAGTGTGTGTGTGTTTACTAGGTAGGCAGTGGAAATATATCTTAAAGATTAGTATTGCAGAAGCTATTTTTTAGTTTTAAATAGTAATAATAATAATAATAATTTATATTTTCAATGACTGTACATAAAGCATACTCCAGGTAAGTTATTACAGGGACATAATGCATCAGGGACTGTCTTTGAATATCAAAAACATACATGCCTGAATCTGCACTACCTGTTCAATTGATTAGTTAGCAGATTCTCAAAATTTTTGGGAGAATTGTTATAGACATTTTTTTGAATAATATGTAACTGTTGACTAAATGAAATAATTACTGCCATCACAAAATATTCCATGTTAAGCCATCATAACATGGCACTTGTGCATATGTTACATCTCTTTCATATACCATACTGATTATGTGTAAACAATGTATATAGGCCTTTCAAAATATATGACTGCTCACTAACATATCTAACGTCACTTCAGTCTTTTGTATTCTTTGGAAATAAAAGTTCCAGTTCTACAATTTGCTGGATAAATGTAAGTTTATTTAGGTACAGGTGCATCTTAGTACAACTATCATTTGTAGTAACGTGTGTAAATTACCTGGGATAATCCAAAAAAGTCAGTGACTTATATCTATTGTGTCCCTTGTGATATCTCAAGTGTAGTGGGCTGAAATTGAAATACATACATCCTCTCTTGTGTTTAGAACATTAACTTACATAGTTTATCCAGCACAGACAAACATGCTTTAGCCTAATGCTTTATGACTTTATTATAACTCTTTAATTAGTAAACATTAGCTTTATTAAAATATCTATTAAATATTTTACAAAGAGGTAAGATATTATTTAGGACAATGCACAAATAATTTTACAACCTATTTGTGCACTAATAAAAGATGGAGGTGATAGAAGTAGCGAAATATTCAAATAGTCTTAAGTAGAAATAAAAATATTTTTTCTAGAAGCTTTTTCTATTTACTTTTCCGAGTCTATGGGTCCCCACAGTTTGCACAAGAGGTGAACTGAAGAATTAATTGCTTACAGTAGATTTAAGAGCACAGAGATGTTATGGGCACACACAGACAGCACATTATGTAGTTTAACCCAAGAGTTAAAAAATACCCCAAGGAACCCATTGAAAATAAATCACTCTCTTTTTTTTGGGTTATCCTAAGTAATTTACACAATGTATGATAATTGTACTTATGTGTACTTGAGCCTAAATAAACTTACCATATGGGGATCTTTAGCTTCACCGGAGTGGCAAAATTAACTGGCCTTTTGAATCGGGTTGTCACTGTAATTACCTGTGTTTGCTTGTCTTCTTGGCTGAGAGGCCCAGGAGGCTGGTCCTTGCTAGTAACAAGTGTGTACTTCATGCTAACACAGCCAAAGTTATTTTTAAATGTTTTTTGTTGTTGTTTGTTGTTGGGGTTTTGAAGGCCACCAAAGCCTACGTTGTATTGAGTCTGGTTTCCAGCGGCTCCAGTAAAAAATATATTGCCCAATTGTAGCCGGGAATTGGATATGAAGTAAAGTTTCCTCCAGAAAAAAAAGAAACGGGAAAAATTGTTCCCAATTAGGTGAGGTGGAGCCTCTTGGCTAAATGCCCACAGAGTCAGACTCATACACTCACCCTGAGTCAACAACCGGGCTCCTCCAGACTGAAACAAATCGGCAAAGCAGAAAAAAATGGAACCTATTTTTATCACCCAAACCAATTGCCCAACGGGCAGTGTATAATGAGGACAAGCCCCTAGGAGTAAGAATGGGGAAAATGCATCACTGATGCTGAGGGGAGAGATGAAGGAGACGTCTGAACTCCATCAAGGCTGGCGCTGAAGATCAAATGGACCCAGTGGAAATAAGTCAAACTGTTTGACTTTGTTGATTATTCTAGGTTAAATGTACTTAATGTACGATATATATGCCACTAACATCTGTGTGTCCTGAAGATCAATGTAAAAAGTATTTGTATGCTATGTACACAGAGCCTAAACAAAAGAAAAAAACTTACATTTGTTCACTTACGGTTACAACCCAAGGAAGTAGATTATATTTTCTTTTATAAAGACTCTTTATATACAAAAAAACATATTTTTATATAACAATTTGAGTTTAGTAGCTTTTGTCATGGTTATGTGTTGCTGAATGTACCAACCCAACAAAAGTGAGTTATAAAACAGATTTAATCTTATAACAACATGGCCACCAAGTTACTGTACTAGTAAACTTTTAACATTATGTACCTCTTATTTGTACATCAACCCTTGATGACTTGTAAATACTAGAAAACTTAATATTACTAAACTTTCGTTTTGGAAAAAAATGAATTTTAAGCACATATACAACCTTTTACTGTTAAACTTATATTCCAGTATACATGTAAGCACAATACACAAACAACTAGCACACAGGAGAATGAAATTTATGACGACGTTTAGGTCCGATTTACACCGAAATGTCGTCATAAATTGCGTTCTCCAATGTAAGGGTTATTAATGCATTGTTCCAGTGACAGTATTGTGACTATTTATTCTTTACATGTAAGAACATAATGAACACATATATCCGTTGCAGTGTTTATGTCTGTAAGTGTATCTCATGACTTCATTCAAAAAGAACTAAGAGCACAGGCCCTGATAACATCCCATCTAAGTTCCTAAAAGATGGTGCTTTTGAACTGTCAATCCCTATTGCTCACATAATAAATCTATCAATCACCACTAATACCGTACCGGAGGGGTTCAAGGAGGCCAGAGTTACTCCTATCTTCAAGAAAAATAATAGGTCTGATGTAAGCAACTATAGACCTGTTAGTATACTCAGTATAATATCTAAAATTCTGGAGAGGGCGGTGTATTCTCAAGTAGTTAAGTACCTTAATGACAACAGCATTCTCCATAGCTATCAATCGGGCTTTAGGAGATCCTACTCAACCGATACCTCCCTTATTAATCTGATGGATTACCTGAGAACTGAAATGTCAAAAGGGAACCGCATAGGTATGGTAACCTTAGACCTGCAAAAGGCCTTCGATACTGTCAACCACAATATATTATGTAATAAACTTCAATCTATCGGTATAGGTTCTGTAGACTGGTTTAAGTCTACCTTAGCAACAGGAGACAAATAGTCAAAATCAACAAAACGGAATCAGAACCCCTGCCGATAACATGTGGAGTTCCCCAAGGTAGTATTCTGGGTCCCTTACTATTCTTATGTTATGTCAATGATATGCCTATCAGTGTCAAGTGCAAACTCCTACTGTATGCAGATGACAGTGCTCTGTTAGTGACAGGTAAAGACCCACAAGATATTGCTAATGTTTTAACACTGGAACTGGAGTCCTGCAGCAAATGGTTAGTAGACAACAAACTATCATTACACCTAGGGAAAACTGAAGCCATTCTCTTTGGAACGAAACATAAACTGAGAAGGGTAAATAATTTTAATGTTCAGTGTAATGGGGAGTCCATCACTTTGGTTTCATCAGTTAAATATCTGGGAATCCCCTTTGACCCATGCATGTCAGGAGAATTGATAGGGAACAGTGTAGTAAAGAAAGCGAATGCCAGGCTGAAGTTCCTGTATAGACAAGCACAGTGTCTACCTACTGAGGCTCGCAGGACCCTATGTCTAGCCCTTATACAATGCCATATGGATTACGCTTGCTCTTCTTGGTACTCTGCCTTGACAAAAAAACTGAAAGATAGACTGCAAATCACCCAGAACAAAATCGTAAGATTCATCCTGAGGCTGGGACCAAGAGAAACATGTAGGCCAGGATGAATTACAGCAGTTGGATATGCTGAATGTTGAAGACAGAGTAAAACAACTGAAGCTAAATCATGTTTATAAAATTGCTCACGAACAGTGCCCAGAATATCTTGCTGTCAATTTTGTCAAGGTTGGGAACCAAAGCAATCATAGTACTAGGGGGAGAGAGCACAACTTTGTAGTACCCACAGTCAGTGGCCAGGCTTCAAACACCTTTTATTGTACAGCAATAAAGGAATGGAACAGACTACCCACAAATGTCAAGGCCAGTCATAGCTTGAACCAGTTCAAGAAGACTGCCAAAAAGTGTCTGATGAATGAAGCAACAGAAAGGGAGGGGAATGATTTCTATTTTTTAGCTAAAATACGTGTAAATTTTACCTTATCCCTAGTAATGACCCTCGTATTGTAGATAGTCGTAATGACCCTAGGGTAGTAGATAGTCTTAATGACCCTCGTATTGTAGATAGTCTTAATGACCCTCGTGTAGTAGATAGTCTTTTTAGTATGATAATAAGATGTTATCTTCATTATAGAATAATAAGAAATATTATAACCTTTATATTATAATAATAAGGTAAAAGGACCCCAATGGAAATAAGTCACTCTGTCTGACTTTTTTGGGTTATCCTAGGTTCTCTACACATATAAGAACATAAGAACATAAGAACGAAGGAACACTGCAGAAGGCCTACTGGCCCATGCGAGGCAGGTCCAAGTCCCTACCGGCTTAAGCCAATGCACCCAACCTAGTCAGGTCAGGTCACATTGACTTAAGGGAGGAACACGGCAACCGACCTGTTAGCACAAGCTATCAGGTCCAACTCACACCCACCCACATCTACTCATGTATTTATCCAACCTATTTTTAAAGCTACACAACGTTCTGGCCTCTATAACGGTACTTGGGAGTTTGTTCCACTCATCCAAACTCTATTACCAAACCAGTACTTTCCTATATCCCTCCTGAATCTGAATTTTCCAACTTAAAACCATTGCTGCGAGTCCTGTTAGGCTAGATATTTTCAGCACACTATTTACATCCCCTTTATTTATTCCCGTCTTCCACTTATAAACCTCAATCATATCCCCCTAATTCTACGTCTTTCTAGAGAGTGCAGTTTCAGGGCCCTTAGTCTATCCTCATAGGGAAGGTTTCTGATACATGGGATCATCTTTGTCATCCTCCTTTGTACATTTTCCAGAGAATTTATATCCATTCTGTAATACGGTGACCAAAACTGTGCAGCATAATCTAAATGAGGCCTAACCAAGGATGTATAGAGTTGAAGAACAACCTGAGGACTCCTATTATTTATGCTTCTTGATATGAAGCCAAGGATTCTATTAGCTTTATTGCGAACACTTATGCACTGTTGTCTTGGTTTCAGATTACTGCTAACCAGAACTCCTGAAACCAAGACAACAGTGCATAAGTGTTCGCAATAAAGCTAATAGAATCCTTGGCTTCATATCAAGAAGCATAAATAATAGGAATTATATGTGAATTATATATAAATTGTGTTTCAGTTTATTCACTGTCCAGTCTTTTCACGATCAGAATCAAAATCCACTTCAATTTCTTCCTCACCGTCAGTTCTCTTGGTGCAACACGTTGCAACGCACTTACCTGTGCATTTCAAGTGATTAAGCAATCATGTATAATCTGGATGTTTGCAAGTGGACAGGACCAGGAGCTGAGACTCGACCCCCTGTAACCACAGCATCTAGTGCTAGTCACTGGTGGCGCTCATCGCGTACATTCTGTTGTAAGACTGCCATCACCATCTATGGTCCACCGACATTCCTTTGAGCCTGGCACATCCTCTCAATTCACAGGGTTTCGCCTCCACATTGCTACACATATAACCCACACATAGGAGAATGATACTTATGACTCCCAGAAAGCTTGCAAGCTTATCAGTGTCTATATACCATGTTCAATAATAACCCACATTTCTGATAGAAAGGTCAGGACATCTTGTTGCTGAAGCAGACACAATATCAGCTTGTCTGACCTTTTTGGGTTATTCTAGGTTCTCTACACATATGCTACTATGTATGATAATCTGTGTAACTGTATTTGTGTATACCTGAATAAACTTACTTACACCAGGTATGACTGCATTGAAAACGTCCCCTGAGACGATGACCATGGAGAAGAATTTGTGTGTCACCTTCTTGTACTGCCTTCAGGCCTTGGATCTCATACCAGTGATCCTTAGTGAGCAGATAAGACACCTCTCCACAGGTTACATACAGTATCTTGTCCTGGTGATTCTCTCTCTTCGTAGACTGCTTCCACTCTGAAACCAAGAATTTGACCAGATTTATCTTATCAGAGGTGCTCAGAAATTATTGCCATTGCAGGATGTTATTGCCTCGTGCAATACCATCCTGCCATGTGCCATTGGTGGAACCTCTGTTCCATCTCAGCGTTTTTGACAGATGGTTCCCAGTAAACTTCAGATACGTCAGTCCTCAGACTGAGTACCCTCGTGTAGAACAAAGAACAAAACCAAATTTGATGGTTGTGCAAATATCTCGACATTGCCTTTCACTTTCTGACCCAGGCTCATGCTGATGGTTCTTATAATATTTTCTGTTGAGAGGCATTTTTTTTGCCCAGCTCTCTGGCAAATCCAGCTATATTTGTATTGTGCAGAGATTCATCAATGGATGAAAGCATACCCAGCACCAATCTTGACGTGGTCAGTCAGAGGCACCACAACTGGATTGATAATTGTACACAGTTCACTGTACGACGGTTTACCTGCGGCATCATACTTTGCCTGATCAGCATTACGTCTCTCCATCAGACTA